CAGCAGCAGCAGCAGCAGCAGCAACGCGAATCACATAGCAGCAATAGGCGGCGAAGACGGCTCCGTCCGCCTCTTTGATATTCGCAGCAACGCGAGGAGATTTGACTTTGTTCAAATTCTTCAGGAGCCTAGAGACACTGTCTCTGCGTAAGCACTCTCTTTATCTCTAGCAGCAGCTTTATTCAGTATAATGATGCTGCTGCTGCTGCTGCTCCTAATGCTGCTGCTGCTGCTGTTGCTGGCTGTATATAGATAGGTATATATTATATCTATATATATTTATATGCATGTACATTTATATCTGTAGATCTGCATATGTCTGCCACTCTCTCTATATGCATATATATATATATATATTTATATATATATATATATATATGTGTGTGTATACTATATACATGTATATATCTATATCTATATATGAATATACATATATATATTATATTAATTTTGTAGATTGATTTGTTTGTTATTTCAGAATGATTGATTTGGGGGATAAGTTGGTGGTGGCTTCGTTCGACGGCTGTCTGTACACCTACGACTTAAGAAAAGGCATGCTTCACCTTGATGCGTATGCAGCTCCTATCACTTGGTATGCTGCTGCTGCTGCTGCTGCTGCTGCTGCTGCTGCTGATGCTGATGCTGATGCTGATGCTGCTGCTGCTGCTCTTGGTGCTGCTGGTGCTGCTGTTGTTGCTGATGCTGCTGCTCTTGGTTCTGCTGCTGCGGCTGATGCTGCTGCTGCTGCTCTTGGTGCTGATGCTGATGCTAGTGCTCTTGGTGCTGCTGGTGCTGTTGCTGCTGCTGATGATGATGATGGTGCTGATGCTGCTGCAGCAGCTGTTGCTGCTGCCGGTGCTGCCGTTTCTGCTGCAACAGCCATTGTGTTTAGGAGAGTGTTTGTCTCTGTTGATTTTATTCACGTCCCCCTCTTGTGTTTGTGCTGCTGCTCCTTCTGCTGCTCCTTCTGCTGCTGCTGCTGCTGCTGCTTGTGCTGCTGGTGCTCCTTGCTTCTGCTGCTGCTGCTGCTGCTGCTACTCTTGCTGCTGCTTCTGCTGCTGCTGCTGTTGGTTTATAGGGTCAGTGCTTCAGACGAAGGCTTTGTTTTATTATTATCTTGCGTAGACTCGAGCTTGAGGTTAGTGGCTGCGGAGACAGGCGAATGCATGCATGCATTTTGGGGGCATAAGCAGAGCCGCAGCAATTGCTATCGCTTGCAAAGTGATTTTCTCGTTTCTTCTAAGCCTCTACCTCCTGTTCCTGCTGCTGCTGCTGCTGCTGCTGCTGCTACTGGTGCTGCTGCTGCTGCTGCTGTTGGGGATAGCGGTATATTTGACAGAGAAGGCGAAGGAGCGTCTTTGCGTGTAATAGATGAGTTGTTAGAAAAAGATAAGACAAACAAATTCAATAAAATTGAAAAAGAAAAACCTTATGCACTCTGTGGAAGCGAAGATGGCTGTATCTACTTCTGGGATATCCTTGCTGCAGCTTCAGCTGTACAGACACCTGAAAATAATTATAATACTCAAGGAGAGGGAAATAGAGCTCCCTATACACCCCAACAAGGGGTGTGGGGTAAGGCTCATGATGCTCCAGCAGTTATATTAAAAACAGATTTTCTTTCGCAGCGTCTGTGCACCGCAGCAACAGATGGAAGTGTAAGACTGTGGAGACAGCTTAATTAATACATATGTTTTAAACGCTCTCTGCTTCTTTGTTTGTTTGTTTGCTTATTTGTTTATTTGTTTTATTTGTTTTATACGTTTTGTTTTGTTTATATATATATATATATATATATTTGTGCATTTATATTTCTTGTGAATGTCAACTCAATACAATTTTTTTTCGTTTTAATAGAATACAACAGAACTAAACAAATATTAAGCAAATATAAATAAATATTATATAAATAGTTATTATATAAATGACTATTATATGAGTAAATATTATATAAACAGATATTAATATACGCAGATGGAAGTATATACAGCTGGACGAAGGTTTTGTTAAGAAGTATCCGCTGAGTAAACAAACATAAAATAAAAAATAAAACAAATATTAAATGAACAATTATTAAGTATGCCTATATTAACAAAATAATAAATAGATTTATATTCACTGGGATGAGACAGACAAATATAAAG